ATATGTCTTCTAGACTGTGTCGTTTAAAGAAGAAAGCCCAGGGTGAAGTGAATGCAACAGCCATCTCCAACCTGCTGCCTTTTATGGAATACGAGTTGCACACTCAGCTGATGAACAAACTGAAGCTGCGGAGCATGAATGCTCTTTTTGGCCTACACATACAGATCAGTGTCGGCGAGAACATGCTCCTGGGTCTGGCTGTAAGTTCATTTAAGTTCAAGAGCTTAATTATCCTCGCATATGTTTTCTGCAGCTTGGTCCTTAAAATGTGTGTGTTCAGTCTGCTACAGGAGTGTACCTCACAGCTTTGCCTGCACCGGGGGGAGTTCAGATTGCAGGGAAGACCCCTGGCGACCTGAGTAATGAGCACCACATCCTCACCATTCAGAAAAGGATCAACGACTCTATCGCCAAGAATAAAGAGCTTTATCAAATTAACCCTCCGGTAAGACACACAACAAAGGTTTTGTGATTAAGTCTGCAAATCTTTCCCCCCTAATGGCAGGTTCTCACTGCGAAGGTTTCAACAATGCTTCATTTCAACACTACACTGGCAAGGGACTTAAATTTCTATCAAAATAAATAAACAGCTATTAGTTTTAGGATCTAAAAGAAAATTTTAACAAAATCTGAGATGATGCTGCAACAACCTGATCTGTTTTGACATTGAATGACTCAATACTCTAGTTTGTACCTGTGTCATATACACTGTTATATTAAATAATTTTACACTATAAACAAAGTGATTATTTAACATAAACAGATCCATTCCACTGTAAAGTATTTCCATTACTTTGCAAATAATTCTCTCTGTTTCAGTGTCATGCAGTCATACATTATAGTCTGTTTTTTGTGAATCATGATAAACTTACCCCTCTTGTCTCTCTCTGGTCATTAAAGAAATTATTTGCCCTGGACCCTGAAGTGTTCGGCGGCATAAACATGGTACTGAGCACGCCAACTTTTTTTGCTGTGAGACACAGCAAAGCATGACAAATATTTCACTCTTATTAACCGCAGAACTACACCACCTTTACCATAACTATGTAACAGCTTTTAACTGGGGACGTTTGGGAGCAGGACGATGTGTAATCCACTCCATAGTCACCTCTCGACAGCAAACCACCATAGACTCATTGTAACTGTGTTGTATTTTGATTATGACTATCTATCCTGCCCATTCACACACTCTCACCTGTGTATTTTTATTGTGTGTGTGCATTCCTGTGTGTATGTGTGATTGTTTGCACTTCTTCTTCCAAATTCATATATTAACACCAGCCGTGTGTGTGCGTGCGCACGTGGGTGCGTGCAAGGATCCAGCTGATTGGGTTCTTGAGTGAGTGAGAGCATGTGTTGTGTTATTAACACAGTCCTTCTATTCACTGTACAGTCTATACAGATGTGAGATGCAGAAGCTGCTGTGGTGACCTGATCCTCACCCTGACAGCCTGTTTGCTGACGTCTTGTTTCCCTCTTCTTGCAGGAACTGACGGAGGAAGTGGTGGGTTCTCCGATCCCAGAGCCGAGGCAACGATCTAGACTTTTTCGCTCGCACTCGGAGAGCTCAGATGAACTGTCAGAACTGGACCTCTCCCATGGCAAAAAGGATGCCTTTGTCCTGGAGGTGAGGATCTACAAGAATAAATGATGATTATTTGCAACGTTTTTACACCTCCATGCAGTCATAGCCAGAGGTTGTCTTTCTGTCAGTCCCATTCTTGTGTGTCATGAGTGCAATATCTTAAAACAACTGATTTCTTTAAATTTAGCACAAACTTGGGTTGGACTCAATGATGAACTGATTTGATTTTGGTGGTTAAAGGTCAAAGGCCATACTGACCTCACAAACAAGAATAACTAAAGTAAATATGAGATATGACAATAATTTTTCAGACACATGTAAATAGGTTAAATCATGAAGTGATGCATTTTATATCAAAGGTCTATGGTCGACACGTAAACTCAGGAACAGAAGGAGAGACTTTGGCCATATTTCCTACAACTTGACTGGATTTCTCTCATTTTCCTAGATTGATGACACTGATGCTGTGGAGGACATCCACTCCCTCCTCACTGATGCCAGCCCCCCGTCAGGTATGTGCCATCCATTCACTCCACAGAAGTTGAAATATTTCCCTCCACATGCTCTGTCCGGTATCACCTGATTGGTCCAACAAACATTTCTCTGCTTCATCCTCACCTTCTCATAACTCCAGGTTTCTACAGCTGCAACACTGAGATCATGCCTGGGATTTTTAACTGGACTTCAGGAGTGCAGGTCATACTTTACAGTGTTCACTCATTACACCAAATCTCAATTTGAAAGAATTATTATATTTTGGAAGCCACTTTAATGCATTATGCAGTTGTGTACTTTTGACATTTTCTATCATGTAGACACGTTAAATTCTAGCAAAACTACAATCTGTACATAATTATTGTAATTTTGCCATCATGTAGAATAGACTACTAGGAAACTGTATTACTTTATGTGATTTGTCTCTATCTTACAGATGTTTACATCAGTGAGGGTCTTTAGGTTGAGTAATGCCAATCTCACTAACCAAGGCTTGAACAAGATCTTCACTGACCTATGTGAGAATCTGCTAAAGGTAAGGAAGATGTGACGGTACTGGGTTTTGTTGTTTTCATGCTGCACTATGGTTCTTTCAGTGGTTGTGTTTTGAATGAGGAATCTCAATCATTCATGTTTGTTTCAGAGTTTTTACTTCAAGTTGCGCTCCATGATCCCCTGCTGTCTCTGTCGTCTCAACTTCACTGTAGCAGTGCCAGAAGAAGAACTCATACAGGTAAGAAGTCTCAGACCACAGCTCCTCTGTGAAATCTCTTACAAAACTGGATATTAAGTAAAGTTTACTTCCACGCCTCTCTGTCTGCCTCCCAGGTCGCAGTGACAGCAGTTGCCATGACGTTCGACAGGGACCAGGCGTTAGAGAAGCCAGCAGACAAGCCTTTTACCAAAGGTCTGTCTGGTTAAAGGTTGCYTTTGGAGGAGTTGCTGATTTATCTATTTTGACTCAGTTTTAAAATGYATTACTGTTGCTACATTTATTTGCTGACACAAAMATGTTATAAAATGAAAACGTATTGATGTGGATGCAGCTTAAGAAACCTGGCTGATTGTGTTTGTACCCTTTCAGGATGCAGTGAGACTGAAGAGCAGCTGCAGTTTCAAATGGAGTTGTGCGCAGACTCATCAGCCATCAACACTCAGCCCTCATCTAAAATCTCAGGTAGCCTTTAACCATTCTCTTTTTTATTTACTCCCTGACCTCCTCCGCTGCCTGTGCCCAGCTTCACTAACAGGCATTGCCCATCTCCTCCACTAACACTTCAGGTACAGTCTCTTTACTCACCCCAGTTGCAAAACTCTGCCAAAATCAGCTGGTTGTGGTTCGTTCAGCAGGTAAATGAACTGCGATGTGACCCTGTGTGTCCTGTTTTGCTTTGAATTTAGATGATTAGTGTGATGTGGTGTAGATGAGTTGCCGTGCTCCTAAACATTCAGTTGAACTAAGTAAGACAAGAACAGAATATACAATTCTGATGAGTCCTGCACCGGGTCGGGTACGGGTAAAAATTAACTGAAGGCGGGAAGCTGCTGGGAACTTTTCTTTTGTTTTGGAGAAATCAGAAAAGAAATAATAAATTGGCTCATTGAAGCTGAGTCAGCCGCTGGGATTTGTTTTATTGTTAAAACCTATGACACCTCCTTTGACCTCTCACTTAACTTTACAAATGACTGTCGCTTCCAACACCGAAAACAAACTTGAACATCAAAATGAATGGCATTAAGACATAATTAGCCAGTTGTGAATTCTTCCTCAGTAGCTTTCCTGCTTGTAAAAAGTCCCACATTAGCCACAAGCTAGGCACATTGTCATGGAAAAAACACATTGACAGGTGTTGCGACAAGTCACACATAATTTTCCAAGAACACAACTCACCCACCATAATGAGAGGACAAGGAGATCAGTTGATGCAAGTGACTGTGTATGTAGCACATGTGTTTAATCACAGGTGACAGGTCAGGTTGCAGGTCATGTGTTAACAGGTCTGGGCGTGTTTGCTTTTGGCCTGAAGATAATAATAATTGCAGGTAATGGGCAAGTCCAGTCCGTATCTTTGTGCATATTGATTTTTCAAAAGGGACCCGTGCAGGACTCTACTGTAGATGTACAGAACATGTGGATTCTGGATGGTTAAAACTTTTGAACACATTTAATTTCTGTTGTGAATCACCCTAAGCTCTTCTTTATCTCTGTCAAGTGCAAAGGTTAACT